TGTAGAGGAGGAGTGCCCAAACTTTTTTGACGGAAGGTCTACTTTTCGAACAACCAACCTCCCGCGATCGACCCGTTATCGCACACGCGCGCATACGTGCACACTTACACACAGATGCCGTAATGAGCAACAGCCAGAACGGCCGCTAAGATGAACGAGGCACGGGACGCACTTTCGCAGCATGCTAACTATCGTAGCTCACGTGTAGCGTTCAAAACTGCTTCTCTTGGCCGCCCAGATTCCCATTCTTAGCAAGTCCCCTCGGTGAGTGAATTGTACATTTTTTTTTTTTTTTTTAAACAACAGCTCCCTGACTGACATCCCGCCCTGCTAATAGAAACGTGTGTAGCAGGCTTTGACACAAATATTCGTTGACGAAATGTTGACATTTAATAGTTACTCCGACACATTTTTACAGCATCGGAAAACGTTAATAATGTTTGTGTCTTGTTTGTCCTCTGACAGAAACCATACTGTAATATGCGGACGTGGTTTGTGTTTGATAGACATTTTGGACCATATTGAGTGTACTTTTGCTATTATGGGACCGAAAAAGACCCCATCACAGGCTAGTGTTAAGCCTAAGAAGACATTAAAGAAAATTACGATTGAGCAGAAGAAGGAGATCATTGAAAAACACGAACGAGGTGTGCGTTTGTGTGACTTAGCGTCCCAGTACCAGTACGCTAAGTCTACCATTGCTACCATCCTTAAGAACAAGGAAGCTATTAAGGGTGCGTGTGTGGCTAAGGGTGTTTCTGTGTTGTCTAAGCAACGGTCTCAGGCAATAGAAGAGGTTGAAAAACTTCTGTTGATTTGGATTAATGAAAATCAGCTAGCAGGGGACAGTGTGAGTGAGGGTATTATCCTCCCTCCCTCCCTCCTCCTCCCACTCCATTCCATCAAGCCATCAACTACCATCACAAAGGTAAATAAAACGACTTTACTATACAGTACAGTTTATTTCTTTAATTACAATACAATAGCACGTTTATTATACATAAAATAAGGTATATTTTTGTGTAGTTTTAAGGCTTATTTAGTAGAAAATTATGTTTTATGGGGACCTGGGAACGGATTATTCTCATTTTAATGGTTTCTTATGGGAAATAAATGTTCGGAAGACGAACTTTTCGCCTTACACACAGTTTCTGGGAACCAATTATGTTCGTGAGCTGAGGTATCACTGTATATTTCTTGTTATTTGTGTATTTGAGGGCTTGGTTAGTTGAGTAGGGGGTGACGTCATAGAGAGGGAACGAGCCAGGTTGAGGAGTCAGTCTGAGTGTGGAGCGCATGGGGGTGAGTGGCCAGCAGCAGCTCCTGTGAATGTGTTTTAATTGCTGCCTCTTTTTGCTGATTAAAAAGCGAACAGACTGCATCAGTGACTGCGTGCACCCTTGACCACATTGAAGGGCATTACAATATTAAAACAAAAAATATATTTCCCTCCCATCTTTTTCCATTTTCAAACATTTTTGAAAGAGCTCTAGGGAGCCACGAGGGGGCGCTAAAGAGCCGCATGCGGCTCGCGAGCCTCGTGTTGCCGACCCCTGGGCGAAGTGAATGCCAAGGGCAGTGGACAACAGAGAAAAGGAAGGCAAGGGTTGACAAAGAGATCAGAAGAAGGAAGTGAGATCAGTCTGAATGCAGGCAACATTACTATCCTTTACTCAATATTTTGTTGATGCACATTTAAAAAACAAATATTCCGTAACTGCAAGCCTTTTTGAATATGACGTCGCAAGTTTGACACACCTATTTTTGGGCTGTTTTTCCCCCCATTAATCTTTGCAGCACCTCTGAAGTTCCATCAAGTTGGATAGAGATCAGCACACAGCTAGACCTCTAAGTGAGATTTGGGTTCTTGGTCATCTTGACTAAAACCCTTCTCCTAAGATCACTCAGTTTAGACAAGTAACCTGGTCCTAGAAGAGCTGTGGTTGGTCTGAACTTTTTTATTACTATAATGGAGGCTGCTGTGCACATTGGGGCCTTGAAAGTTGCAGAAATTCATCCATCCATTTTCTACCGCTTATCACAGGGGCAACAGCTTTAGCAGGGAAGCCCAGACTCCCCTCTCCCCAGGCACTTGTTCTAGCTCTTGCCAGGGTATCCTGAGGTGTTTCCAGGCCAGCTGGGAGACATAGTCTCTCCAGCGTGTCCTGGGTTGTCCCCAGGGCCTCCTGCCGTGGGACATGCACAGAACACCTCACCAGGGAGGTGTCCAGTAGACATCCTAATCAGATGCCCTAGCCACCTCATCTGGCTCCTCTTGATGTGGAGGAGAAGTGGCTCAACTCTGAGCCCCTCACGGATTTTCTGAGCTTCTCACCTTATTTCTAAGGGAGAGCCCGGACACCCTGCGGAGAAAACTCATTTTGACGGCTTGGATCCGGGATCTCATTTTTTCGGTCACGACCCATAGCCCGTGACCATAAGTGAGGTTTGGAACGCAGATCGACCAGTAAATTGAGAGCTTCACCTTTAGGCTCAGCTCCTTCTTTACCACAACAGACCGATCCGCTCCAGAAATGTTTCTGTAAAATTCCCCATATCAGTGCTGTGCAATCAACAGATTTTTACGACAGGTGGACTCCACTTAAACTGCAGAAACATCTCAAGGACGATGAGTGGAAACAGGATGCAAACTTGCTCAGCTTCATGGCAAAGGAAGTGAAAACTAAGTAGAGTACAATTTATTTCTTTGTTTATTTGAATGAAGTTAACACCCCCCCCAAAAAAAAAAACTGGGGAGAGAAAAAGTTCAATATTGTTGTCAAAGGATGTTGAAGAAAAATAAATGTAATGTATTTTGGAATAAGGCTTACATAAAAAGTGACAAAGGTGAAGCAATGTGAATACTTTCTGTACAGGCTACTGCGATTGCATAAGTTTGTCGGAGACGTAACACAATAATATTCAAACTTCAAAATGTCTCAAGGCCTGAACATAATGGGCAGCATTGGAAATCTAATCATCAGACATGCTTGCTTTTAATGTACGATATATGTAACTTCCAAGATAGCTTGCTTTACATGTAGATGAGAGTAGGTCATACAAATGTGTCTCAGCTGCAGCCATCTGTGAACCAGCTGTGGTGAGATGTCCCGCATTGTACTTTGCACTCCGTCACGCCCTCATACACTTGCTGTAACCCCTCTGTCGACGGAAGAGGTGAGCTGAGTTGAGTGGTGCATATATATATATATATATATATATATATATATATATATATAAAGGCCTGGAGGTCGACTGGTTATTGGCCTCACAGTGCCGATGTGACGGGTGTCACAACTGCACGTCGCTGCCGCCTCAATAACACCAGACACCTCGTGGATTGTGGCTTTTTCTTTCTTTTAATACTGCAACACAGTGTGGCTGGAGTTATGGTCAAGTCGCATTTGGTCGTTGGTACGACCTGCGACTTCCCTAGTAGCTCTGCTTTAACAAAACATCGTCCATGGTGTAACCCGGATTATGGCGTGAGGCAATGGGGAGTAGACATAACCAGTTGAAAGATCATAGGTTTCATTCAGAAGTAAAAACAAACAAACAAAAAAAACCAATATGAATATAATCTGTATTGACTAAAAGAGTAGCGTCGTTAAAATGTATCTTAATTAAACAGAACTGAATATTGCCGTGGCCCTAGGGCACATATGTCAAAGTGCCGGCCCGCGGGCCAAATCCGGCCCGCGAGAATGTTTTCAGTGGCCCCTGGGATGATATTGATTTATTATTAGAACCGGCCCGCGGAACGCAGCAAGCCGAGAGCCCGCAGATCTTTTACAC